GGGGCATCGTTTTGGGGGAGTTGTTTGTTCCGTAAAGTTTCATCTCTGAGGCACGTCCACGTATCGCTGCGTTGGTCCCTTCCCTCGTCTCTCCTCTTGGGATGTGGTGTGGTCGCACGGTCTGCAGAGGTCCAGCTCCCCTCCGCGTTCCTGGGCGGTCTCCGGTTCGCCCCAGAGGACAATCCCGCATGGGAGCAAGGGAGACGGGCAGCCCACGGGCAGCGTAGCCAGCGTCATCGCCCAAAAACCCACAGGGGACATAGCGGGGGCGCAGGGCTGGCACCCGGGGCTGGGGGCACCGCACGTCCGGGTACCAAACCGGCGCCTGCCACCTTCGCTCCGGATTTCAACCAGGTGCCACTTCCCTACTCGCTGTGTGCAGCTCAGTAAATAGGAGCAGATCTTCCCCGCGCAAGCTCCTGCCACGGTGACCCAAGGCAGGGACACTTGTACAACCAAAGCATCGCGTGCCCCCGCGCCCGCTCGCGCAAAAAGCGCAGCCTGCCCCGGAGCACGCACCCCGCCGACTGCTCCGAAAAGCCGCGGTGCATCAAGAGTATATTCAATTCGGGAACTTTCTGCCCAGAGAGGTCCCGCAAAATTGACTGTTTTCTGCAAAATGCAGGAACCGCCCGTTTTCGGCGGGGGACACCTCTGGGCAGCAGCTCGGTACCCGGCCGTGCCCGGCAGCCCCGCGCCACGAACGCTGCGCGTGGGGTTGCCTGCTCTACCCCGTGGAGAGACCCCCCGGGGTGCAGCACCCAAGGGGTGCCCCAGCCCCCACATTGCCCGAGGGGTTTTCCACCCAAATCCCCCCCCGTCCAGAGCAAGCAGGACGGAGTCGGTTTGGACGACTCCACGGCATCTCCCATTTCCCGTGATCAGATGGGCTGATTCCCCCCCCCAGCCCGCCGAGCTCACAGGAACGACATGACGCACCTAAATGCCAATCACAACATTTATTTTTATTTCCACAAACCGTGATTTTAACTGTAGGAATATGTCACATACACCAACACGGAGAGGATGGCCTTGCCCACCCACACTGGCTCTGTACCGGCTG